TGACCCCACTATTTTAATTCAAAGGAAGGATCACACATTGTGGAAGCGAGGGGTAGGTACATTACCAATGACCCCATTATTCGCCTACACTTTGTCAAAGTAAAACTCAATAAGGTGAACAAGATGGAAGGTTTTACTACCTGTCCTCGTTCACTGGCATTGAATTTATAAAGATTCAGAGAAAAGGGATATAGGGAAAAAAGAAACCAAAATATGACTACATATTTACTCAGATACCTGATGGAGTAAAAGTCCAAGCATCTTATGATCGATATCCCCAAGGTAAACCCTACACTTTATTTTTTCTGCAAGAAATGAGGTTAGTAGAGGGGGGAGTCAAGCTAGTATTTGCTAAGTTGCTGGTGGAATGTTTTCGTTGATAAACTAGGATAATGTATATAAAGTATTTCTGTAGTTGACATCCATTTGAGGTGGTTGTAGTATTGTGGTGATTGTGAGATTGAGAATTTTGTCAATCCATGCTATTTTATAAAACCTCTTCTCGAAAGATTACCTACTTGTTTTGCTTGAGGACAAGCTAAAAGTTAAGTCTGGGGTGTTGATAGGTCATGGATTTTGCCTATTTTTAGCCATGACCTAGATGTGATTTTTATATATTTCATAAGTATTTTGAACCTTTTTAGAGTAATTTACAGGTTTAGGAGCTTATGAAGAAAATGGATGTTTTTGGAGCGTTTTGGAGACTTTGAAGAGCACTCCTGCCGATCTGAAAATTGTTCGACGTTGCAAGACGAGAAACGATCGATAGTCACCCATTATGAACGATCGACACAACTTTGTCAGCATCGATCGATTCAGATACCACCCGCGAGTTTATAACAAAAATTAGAAGACCTCAAGTTTTATAAAAGTTACGATAATTGCAGGATTAGTCCCTAGCCGCCTACAGGCTACACTTTTAGGGTTTTGAGCTGTTTTAAAAGGAGAGTTTTTACTTAGAGTTTTGGTAGAGCCAGTTTAGAGAGCTACTTGTTTACCATTGAAAAGAGTTTTTAGGAGATTGGAGAGAGAGATGCGAGACTACAAAATAGAGAAGATCTTGAACTCCTTTGTTTCTTGACTATTATTTAATTTGCTTCTTGTTAATGAGTTTTATTCAAACCATCATGATATTGCCTTTTATGAATATGTCTCAGTAATCTCATTTGTTAGATTTAGGTTTCTCATTTGGTTGAGTTATGTGTTGATTTATGACTATTGTTTAAGTTTTTTTCATCTTTTCTTCAAATTTAATTAATCTTGCACTAGATTTAGGATTGATCACGCTAAAATATAAATCTTAGGTTTTTAATTGAGTCAAATAATTATTTACTCATTACCTAAATCCTAACTAGTTTGATCTAATTCAATAGATTCATACAACAGTTGGTCTAAAGAGTTAGAGAATAATATTAACTTGTCCTTAAAGCTTGCTAGAAGAGTCGTCGCTCGCTGTGAGCATTCTCTCAACGATCGATTACTTGAAAGGTGTATCGATCGATTTTCTACTAAGATAATTGATCGACTCGTTTTCCGGATCAAAACTACCAGTTTAGATCCGAGATCTAGACAAGGAAAACTATTTAGTTTCATTATTTGTGTTTGAATTCATGAAAAATATAAAAACCTTAAAGTCAGAATTCAATTGCATATTGATACCTGAGATAATACCCAAGTCTAACTACTTTCCTCACTAAAATTTACTTTCACTGAAATCTACTTCCAATCCAAGTTACTGAATAATCATTTGTTTGCATTAATTTAATTACTGCTTTTTAAACCCATCTTTAGTCTAGCCATATTTTAATACTTAGATCTTTTGAGTAATTCTAGAGTCCTTGTAGATTTGATCCCTAAGTACTACACTGGACCTCTTATTTGAGAGAGTAATTCACTCCTTAGGGTATTTTGAGTGATATCACTCCTCTTCCTCTTTCTACGTCCATCATCTCGTAGGATTTACCGGTTGCTACGTTCTTAATTAATCGCTTTCCTTCTTTGGGGCTTCTGGTGCTGAAGCTGCCTTCACTTTCTATATCAAGCGTGGTTTGGTAAAGTAAGCTAACACTTCCGAAAAATATGTTAATAAGTTGTGATTCCGAGTAGCCATAGTGGGGCACTCAAGTTGATAATCTTTGAATCTTCCCTAGGAATTTTCGAAAGATTCTCGTGGATCTTGGTGGAATGTAGAAATTTTCTTCCAAATGTCCCAGTAGCGTGCGTCATCGAAGAAGTGATTAATAGAAACACTTCTAATCTCTTTCCAGAAAGTTAGAGATCCTGCTGGTAATTGATAAAACCATTTTTTGGCATCCCCTTCTAAAGAAAACGAGAAGAGTTTACAGCGATTGTAGTCGTTTGTCATCATATCTTCTAGATTTTTGATGTGATCATGTGGATTCTCTAAGATGGATCCACGAAAAGGGTTCCGACGTACCAGAATAATGAATTCGAGGTTAAGCTCGGATCTCCTTGTATTGTCTGGTAGTTTGATGGCTGATCTATTGAATATGTCCTTCAAGGGTTTAAGTAGTCTTGCAAAGACAATTTTTTTCTTCATTTTTATTTAAATTTGAATTAAATTTAACAAGGATGCAGTCCAATGTTCATTTATAATTTGGTTAGTTGCGTTGCTTAGTTGACCTTTCGGTTCCCTTAGGACTACTTCCTTTTTAACACGATCGGTAAGCGAAAACTTACCTTCCTCCGGCGGGGTATCGTCGATAGATATTGGAAGAGTAGTGTTGATCGATTTCTCCGTCGACCCATCATTTGATGTTGTTGTCAAAGTCTCGATCGATGCTCGGCCGAAATGCGTGTTCCTCATCATAGGTACCTGTGTCAATAGGGTAAGAAGAAAAACTTTTTAGCAATTATAGTAACGAAATCTATACTATATTCTAAGCTTAATCTAATGATAATAAGAAAGAGTTCCTGGCAATGGCGCCAAATTTGATATCACTTAAATTACCCTAAGGAGTTAATTACTCTCTCAAATAATAGGTTCAGATGTAGTACTTAGGGATCAAATCAAAAGAGACTCTAGGATTACACAGTGGATTTATAGTCTTTGAAATAAACCTAGACAAGTAGGTTTAAAACATTAAATTAAACAGTGAACAAGATAGTTGTTCGGTTGGTTTGATTTGAGGTAGTAACAATTGGTGAAATAGCTAGATTCAGGTATTATCTCAGGTATGACAAGTATGCAACCTATTTTGGTTATTAAGGATTCATAAATATTAATTGTTCTCGAACTCAAACTTAAGTACAATGCCGCATGATTAGATTATTATGCCTAGATTCAATGATCTCAACTGTTGTTTGTTGATCAATAGAAAGTATCGACCGATGATTCAATATGAATATCGACCGATGCACCTTTCAAAATATCGATCGATACAACTATTGTCGCGTCGATTAATGTTTCTTCTAGCAAGCTTTACGAGCAGGTCTGATATGTTCTCTAACTCACTAGACCAAGTTTCATGTTTATCTAGTCAGTTAGATCATACTGGTTTAGTTTCAGGTAATGGGTTAAGCTGTTGCTTGTACCAATTAATCCTAAGATCTAAGTTAAGGGTGATCAAACCTAAACTTAGCATTAAGAGAAACTAGTTGAAGAAATTTTTTCAAACACCCTAGCAATAGTTCATATTAGCAATATATAAATCAACCTTAAAAGAAACCTAAATCTAACAGTAAGACTACTCAGACATATTCATAAGAGACATGGTTATGATAGTCTGAATAATACTTTGAATAAATGAAAAGCAAGAGAAACAAGTAAATAGAAACAAGGGAGTTCAAGATCTTCTTTCAGATCTCTCTCTCCCTCTCTCTCTCTCCCCCCCAAAAACGGATCTCTCTAGGTCACCCGGCTAGTGTACCTTAGAAATTATACAAAACCCTAATAGTATAGTCTAATAGGCGAGCAGAGACTTATGATGTAAATAATGAAATTTTAGTAAAACTTCTAAACTTTTAATTTATCATTAACTTGTAGATAGCGTTACCATCGATGGTAAGGAATTACTGTCGATCGATGTTTTAGGGTGAACGTTGGTCGATATTATTCTTCAATAATCGACTCCTTCTTTGTTTCCAGGAAGTTCTTATATAGTCTCCATAACATTCCAAAAACATCATTTTACTTGAGAAAGTACTTAAACCTATAATTACTCTAAAAAGACTTCAAATGCATATAAAAGACTTCAAAAACATATCTAAATCATGGTTGAAAGTGGGTAAAATCCATGACATATCACTATTCTATAGCTATGTTGGTATCTTAGGGGCTATTATTCAATCTATGATTTAAAATCATTTTTCATTAATCTATTAAAATTTAAAATTTGAAGATAGTTAATTAAATACACAAATTTTAAAAATCTTTTGAAGTTGAATAACACTGGATTTCGTAAAAAAAAGATTTAAATCATTAATTGAATAATACTACATTTTAAATAAGATTTATAAATATCATATCCAATAACACTAGTTTTTAAAATAAAATTTAAAATCATCATTTGAGTTATGATGTATTTCCGATTATATAAATACAAACATATATATGATTTCACACAGTTCCCAAATCTTAATATTCTATCTATTTTGCTAGTCAGATCCAAACTGATGGAAAAAACATCTGTCTGGTGTAGCTCTTATGTTGTTTGTCTGTCCTTCAGTATCATTGGAGCCACTAACATCCAAACTGCCACAACCATTAGTTCAACATTAGAAACATCATTTTTTCAAAAGAAAAAAAAAAGAAAAAAAAACATTAGAAACATCTTAGTATTTATTCGCAATGAAAACCGGTAAAAAGGAGTTTCTTTACTTACTGTAAACGCAAACCGCGAGCAATGCGTTTCCTATCCTAACCCAAGTACTTGTCCACCCAACGTCAATAGTCCACCTGACAGAAAAATGAGTTTTATCAAATTTTTAGTTTATGGTTGGAATATGAATAGTGTTTGTTCATAAGAAAACTTACCTTTTCATGGAATGATGAATGTTCCAACCAATAAGTAGCATTGCAAAGTACATTGCTCCGTAGCAAACACAAAATGGAAAAATCCGTATCCGTAAGGAATCGCGTCTTCTTCTTGATTCTCATCTTTTCTAAACTGCAAGGCCATCGCTATTAATGATCAATTTTGTGTATATTTGCTGCAAAATTGGCAGGTCATAGATGACAACAAACCTGGAAGCATTGTGAATCTACTCCCGTGGAGAATGTGGCGATGACAATCGCAAGCAGTGCAACCACAAAGCTCTGTGCCTCTGCACAACAAATATACATATATATAGATCCTTAGTACTTTCTTCAAAATGATCTAAAAATTTGACATAAGATTTTTGAAAAGAGGCTGACAAAAGATTTTTGAAAAGAAAGAAAGATTCTTGAAAAGATCTGGGAGTTTTTACCATGATGGTAAGCCAGTTCGTTCTGCTAGAAGATTCAGCATTTATGTTGCAAATTTCTCCAACTGGCTCACTGCAAAACGAAATTAGTTAAGTCACAGGACTCAGAACACTTACTTTCTTGATCATGCTCGTAAAGAGAGACTACGCATTGCTAATTTCTCCATGGTATTTTAGATAGATCAAATGAAACATGCCTTCTAATGTCGCACCAGCAGATAAAAAAAAACATAAAGCCCCATAAGCGAGGGAGTCAAGAATCCAGCATTTATCTGTTAAATACACCCAAAAGGAGCGGTTTTTAAAGGTCTAATATGCATACACATATATGACAGAAATAATACTATTGGGGGAACCTCATTGACTCACTTTGGGATGCAGAGAGATACTTGTCATGAGTTGGATTAGGAACAAAGTCCATGTGATGAAAAATATATTGAGAAGGCAAGATGGATCAGGCACATACCATATGTACATCAAAATCACACCTAATATGCATAAGGTATACGCAATAGTTGCTAGTAGCATCACATGAACATGACTGCAACATCAAAGATTCATCTGAAAATTCACAGTCATTTGATATGTATCCTAAACTATATAAAGAACAGTGGTCTCATGTTGTCTCACCATCTCTCTGCGTCTTTTTGGGATTGGAAAAATTTATTGAGCCATGTAATGAAACTGATGATACTAATAAGCTGTATCAAGATAAAGACCCTATAACAACAAGAAAGCGAAGAAGTTTTAGGATATCTGATAAGCTTCCGAGTTAAGACCATCACACAAATTCTGAAATAAAATTAGAAACTGTACCCTGCACCAAAATGTGCAATCTCCCCTGAAAAGCAAAACAGAACAAGGAGAAAAGCCATTTTACACGTCAATAGTAACTGAAATTAGATAGCTAAAAACGATTAACCTAAATCAACTGATGATGATTAGCCCTTTTACCGTAAAGCTCAATTATGGAAGAAGGCAACAAGAAGGGGAATATGATTAAGCCAGGCCACATGAGAAGCTTAGCAAACAACCATCCTGAATGCCATTTATCTTTTGATGAATGCGACATTGATGGGGCAACGGTTGAGAGAAACATGATGAAATAAAATAGCTATGGAAACAGTTAAGGCAAAAAATCATGTTTCTGAAGAAGACTCAAAGCTGTAGTATGAAACTATAGTATGTAAGTACGACTTGTAACAACCCGTTCCCCCGGCGCGGGGATTCGGCAAACGGGTGCTACGGACACGTGTCTACTCAATTAGACAACACTACGTGTTCTTACTGGCCCCAAGAGTCGGTGAACACATCTTTTAATGAAATCCAATCCACCCTTATCCACATACTAAGGGGATGAGCAATTGGGATTACTCAGTGAAGTGACTTTAGACCAGCCTGTCCGCATGATACTCTATACTACCTCATACAGAAACCAAGACCGACTAGCCACTACAATCAATATGCATCAACAAGCCATTCAACAACATCTCAACATAGAATTCTAGCATCCTAACGTTCATACACTGCAAGGACTCAGCCATTGCTTCACATAGACTCAATCACACAATCATCCCTTTTACCTAGACTCGCCAATCAACCTACACCTCTAGGACATATGGCCGTTTACGGATGTCCCTACACGTTCCAGCCTAACCTGAAAGGGTGCCCACTCTGGAGAAACCATTTCCCCCCTCCAGCTTCCTAGTAACCACCCGCGGGGAGCTCGTTGGCCCACGTGCAGCACCTGCTGGCCCACGTGCAACATTGTCTACCCGCGGCTCCCGTCCGTACACGGTCAGATGGTCACAATTTGCCACGACTCGGCATTGACTCGATCTTAAGGCGGATATTCCTAACTTTACTCCGCCTTGGCGGTCGCCGTCCGTACACGGCCTTTCACTTTCCGCCCACGGGTACGTTCACCGTGGGCCATCACATCCTAGACTCTAGACGCCCACCCGTTCTCGATGGTCCAAACAAGACTTCAAACAAGTTCATTGACACGACTCCATTCTCATTCACATTCTCATCCTCTTTCTCTTACTCATACTCGTCCTCAATCACGTTCACTTTACTCATTCACCTTACTCATTCACTGATTCTTAGACGCTTTCTTACATTCTAGACGCCACCCATTCTCGGTGTCTCACACAATACACTTCACATAGCATCAATATCAATAGCATCACATTATCATACATCCACTGATATGTCACATGTACATCTACCACCTTAATTATCAGTTGATATACCTTACATTCATGAGTTATCATATCATTCACTTTTCTCTAGAAACCTAGTTTCCATTCACAATCAACATATTGGACATCAACCAATCACACAAACATTCATAGCAATCATTATCCACATCAACACAAGGCAGTCCATTAAGTCCCATTTAACAGTGCGAGGGTTCTTATGCATCATGACTCAATCATCTAACAACCTAACTCCCATTATGATCTATCATCCTAACTTTCAAACAAAAGCTAACCAAACCCTTGTTCCACCATCAGCTAGAATAAAGAATAGGAGAACAGATCTAGATCGAATCACCTCACCTTAGCAAGAGATCTGAGATCTAGGAACAAGAGGGGAAAGAGATGAGATCTGAGAATCTCCACACACACACCACACCACCACAGCGAGGAGAGAGAGAGAGGAAGACGGTGAAGAGAGAGAGAGGCGGCGCGCGGGAAAGAGAGGAGGGAGAGGCTGACGGCTAGGGCTTTTGGTCTCCGGGACTTCTCTGCAGAGCTTCGCTTCCAGTTTGCGAAATAAGAGAGAAGGTGGAGGCTGCAGCCTTTTTATAGTGAGTTGTAGGAAACCCTAGGGTTTATGGGCGATTGGGCCATAGAGAGACCCATTAGTCTTCTAAAAAAAGTTGGGCCGGTAATGGGTTGTTACAATCTCCCCCACTTAATAGAATTCGTCCCCAATTCTGCGCGTCGGAACTCCAACCACATCATCTCAACAACGTGGTCATTACGCATCACTTGATTGCTGTCGATTTCTGAACCCTTCCAGCTTACTAACCATACAGGGTCCCTCATCCGTTGTACCTCACCCCCTCCTCCTAAGATCGACATTTCCTGTGGTTCACCAACTTTTTATCATACCTGGTTTATAGCTACGGTAAGACGCACTCCCGCTGCTGGCTTCGGTATCACCTAGCGAATTTCTATGATCTTTTACTTGATTCGCATGTGGTGTTGTCGTGAAATGAAATCATCCATTGGGGTTTGCTGCCGGTTGCCACTATGCTTTCGCTGCGCTACTCTGATTAAATTTGCTCCCCATATGCCCTTATGTAGTTCGGTCCGGGGCACCCCACATCGGTGGGTTCCACCATCCAAAGGTATCTCTTGGCACAATCCGGCGGCAGCCTTGGGATCCTCCTAGCCCATCTCAGACTATTCTACTTGCTCCGTAGTCCTTGGATCTTTTCCAACTTGAACTCCAGGTCTCCCCCACTTTCGATCGAGTCCCATGACTCCACCTGATCCTTCCTTCCCACCTCATATTGGTACGTCCTTATTTATCCTTCCATTGTAGTACATATATTTGTTGTATCCACCATCGTGGTTTACGAGTAATATGTGTATTCCTTAATCTGAGAAGGCCCTCCTATCCCCTCGCTTATCACTCAGCGTTCTCCCTAGGTCGGCTAGCCCACTGCGGCGAAGGAGGGGGTGGGGGGGGGGGGTTACGGATCTATCTGTTGGGGAAAATAATCCATGAGAAGATTTTCCCAGCTTCCGGCTTCCAGGTTCCGGGCTCTGCGCCAGGTCTCTGCCCCTGCTCCAGGTATCGGGCCCTGTGGGAACCGAAATTCACACCATCGATTTCCGTAAATTAAGGAAACTTAGGAAAACCATAATTTTCCAGAAGACCCGGATCTCTGCGAAAGCCTACGACAAGTCACCAAATAAATGCGGAAAATACGAAAAACCTGATAAAACAAATTTATAAAGAAGGTCAATCTTATTTCGAATTCGCGTAAGAGCGTTGTGATCTTTACAAGAGATTACAAAGGCTTTGTCCGCAGGGGCCGTCAGCGAGTTATCAACATAAAACCCTAAACCTAGTCGAGTCGCAGCACGATAAAAAAAAGAAAAGAAAAAGAGAGTTTGATTGATTTCGGACTGAACCTTATGAAAGGCTGCCTACGTACCCTTTTCGAGGACCAATTCAAACGTAATTCAGTTGATAGAGCTGGACCAGAGATCGAACTTCCTGGGCGAGTTCATCTAGTAATTGAGAGCCAGTCATAAAAAACGAACTTCTCGAGAAAAAGCCTAAGTTTCTAAGTGCGGAAAATTGTAAGTCTAGAAAAGTTTTAAAAGTTACGGATGAGAGCTGTGAAATTCGTCCTCTGCTTCTGTCCTATGCCTCTTGCTTATATACTCCCTTCCTTGGCGGTTTGGTCCTTCCATTTCGCCCAGATTCGAGTTTATCGAGAATTTTCCATATATCTTTATCTTTCCTTTTTTCCCGCGGAAATCTTCCATTTATCCTCAAACTTGACATCTATCTTCAAATTTTACATTTATCTTCTTTCTGCGAGTATACTTTCAAAACGTCATCGTATCTTTGGGTTAGATTTCGTTAAAGTCGCAAGATAGGCTTTTATCGCTTTTTAGGACTTTTCGAGCCATTTTGCGGTAAAACGGTTTTACGACTTTATACGAGATCGTTTCCTGATGCGATGCCGTTTTTAAATAAGGTTCTCGATTTAGTCGTAAATTTTGGCAATGTTTGATGTTTCGGTTAATCGTTGCCGATTTCTACGATATACTCGAATTTTTATTAAAAACGCGTTTTTTACGATTTCTCACGAAAAATCTCGAGTAAATCGTATAGTTTAGGCAATGTTCGGTTTTTTGTTTAACCGTTGCCGTATTATACGATTTCCTTGAGTTTTTTCAAGAACGATAAGATTGATTGGGACGAAACGAGAGACGTTTTGACCATGGTTTGGAACATGATCGTGCCGAAGGACGTATGCCTTCAATCGAGGACGTGGGAGATCGAGGCTCGGAATAATCAGCTCGACCTACGACGAGCCTAACCGGCCCGGTTCAGCTCGCCGTACGGCGAGCTATATGGGACGTGCCTAGCTCACCGTACAGCGAGCTAGTCTTGGTCGAGATAGCTTGCCGTACGGCGACCTAACTCGGGTCATGATAGCTCGCCATACGGCGAGCTAACTCTGGTTGAGATAGCTCGCCGTACGGCGAGCTAGTCTAGGTCGAGATAGCTTGCCGTACGGCAAGCCAACTCTGGTCGAGATAGCTTGCCGTACGGCAAGCTAACTCTGGTCAAGATAGCTCGCCATACGGCGAGCTAACTCTGGTTGAGATAGCTCGTCGTACGGCAAGCTTCCTCTGGTCGAGATAGCTCGCCGTACGGCGAGCTAACTCTGGTAGAGATACCTCGCTCTACGGCGAGCTAGCTCTGGTTGAGATAGCTCGCCATACGGCGAGCTAGTTCGGCCGAACCAACTCACGGTTTATGGCGGTTGCGGTTATTTGCAGTTTTGTGCTTAACTCGGAAGATCGTGTAATCAACGTTTGTTTTGTTTTTCAAAGATAACGACTCCCAAGTTTTCCGCGGATTTCTTTTAGAGTTTTGTAAAACGACTTCTCGAGTTTTATAAAACGATTTCTCGAGTTTTATAAAACGACTTATCGAGTTTTATGAAACGACTTCTCGAGTTTTATGAAATGACTTCTCGAGTTTTATAAGACGACTTATGGAGTTTTATAAAATGACTTCTCGAGTTTTATAAAACGACTTCTCAAGTTTTATAAAACGAGTTCCCGAGTTTTATAAAACGATTTATCGAGTTTTATAAAACGACTTATCGAGTTTTGATAAAACAACTTCTCGAGTTATATAAAATGACTTCTCGAGTTTTATAGAACGTATTTTTACTTTTGCGGAGACTTTTAACAATTGATTCCGTCGTGATCGATTTTGACACCAATAGTTAGCCCCCCAGCTTGCTAGAATCTTGAGCTTCTAGCGTAAGGTTCTTCTGAGTGGTTAGCCAGTTTTAGTTAAGTT